ACGTGCATAGATTTGAAACTGGATCGTATTTTAAGGAGAAAATGTTTTCTGGTTACCGCTAACCGCTGCTAACTGTAATGTAGCTGCTGTTAGCTAATTAGCTCAGTTAGCCAGAATGGGAGCTAATTGTAGCAGAACGTTTTCAGGCCCGGGACCGAGGTGGGGTGGTGCTGACAGAGAGTGGAGCTGAGTGAACGGGCAATGTAACCAGGCTCAGTTTTTCTCATCTACGTCGGTGAATTCAGGATTTATTTCCACCAAACCAGAGTTGGTGATTGTTGGAAACACTAACAGAGATGGTTTTAATGAGTTTTATTTAGTTTCTGTCCTGTTGTTCTGGTCTGAGATGCTCATATATATATAACCTTTAAGAAACACAGAAACATAAGAAATCTTTAGTCTGTAGAAACTTTACCTTTGTCAAAGTCTGCTTCCAGCTGAATCTCCTCTTGGGCGTTAACAGAGCTTCGAGTCTTCTGACCACAATAACAGTCAAGGTCGAATAGGAAGCTCACCAGCATGGCCTCCAGAAGGCTGATCCCCACCAGGGCGAAGGTCACAACACAGTAGACGGCTGGAATAAAGGTGCAGGGACATTAAACTGGTGAGTTTATCAGTACGGAGGACTCTGTGACCTTTGGTGTGAGGTCTGAGCGGCAGCTCACCCATCATTGGCAGGTTTTCTTCAGTGGAAGGCAACATGTCGTGAAGGATCAGCAGTAAGACGGAGATGGAAAGGAGGACAGTCACTTTGAAGCTCAGCTTTTCTCCTCTGGCCTCGCTGATGAAGAAGGAGGCCAGATCCAGGATCAATAAATAGAACAGGGGCACAATTAAAATCACCACATAAAGCATCGGCTTCCTCATCATTATGATCTGAAAAAAACAGAAAAACAGTCAGATTAATTAGAGACTTTGGGAACAAAGTGTTGTCAGATTTCATTACAAGTATTTTCTTACCGTATATATAAGTTTACTTTCGGTTCTGCCGCCTTTAGTCGCATTAGGAGCGGAAATTTCCATTGTTACAAGCTCCCATTCTCCCTGTGTGACCATGAACGTCTCAGAGGCTATAGTGAGAGCTGTGTCATTTTTGACTGTTCCTAGGTAGATGACTCCTGCTGTATTGGTGATAAAAAGTATTAAATAATCACATATTCTGAAGCCGTTCTGGATGTGAAACAAATGAGGCGCAATTTACCATCAGAGGTCATGGACGAAAATGTGATCGTACACTTCTGTGTATCAAAGGGGAAGTCTTTGAGCTTCATCTGACAGGTGAACGTCAGCCGCTGACGAGTGGTTGTGTACACCCAACCGCTGGTGACTTGGCTAAGTGGACTTCTGTAAATACTCGAAGTATCAGAGGCACTGAAGACAAAGAGGGAATGAAAAGGTAAAGAAATATTCTCAGAGTGAAGCTGAGTGGGCGGGCAACGTAACCGGGCTCAGTTTTTATCATCTACGTCTGTGAATTAATTATTTATTTCCACCAAACAAGAGATGACGATGGTTGGAAGGACTAATAAAGATGAGTTTTATTTAGTTTGAGTCCAGTTTGAAGTGTGTGTTTTACAATTATCTGCAAGGTTAAATCAGTGGGTTTGTCAATGGAGTCTGGTCACATATAGCAGCCATTAGTTTGTTTGGAGGAGAGAAATGTTTTCAACATGTTTGTAAGAACTCAAGGATACATATTAGGTGAGAAACACTGATTGAACTTTATTTTTCTTACCTGGACTTTAAAAGTTTTTCTTCTAGTTTTGGGAGCTTTGAATGATATAAACTAGATAGATAGATCCTGTCTGCTACGGGCTGAGGTTTGTTTACATTGAGCTTTACCTTTATAAATCGCCTCTGAATAAGATCAAAACCATAAACTGCAGTTATGTTATTAATAAGTATTAACACAATAATAGTAATAATACATACTCCTCTAGGATGGTTACATCGGGGGTCCACAGGCTCGACATCGGAACGGTAAACTTCTCTATCCCACAAAAGTCGGAAGAATTCCAAGTCAGGAATTCATTCATCCAACTCTGGGAAAAGAAAACATTTTAAAACTGTTATGACAGTAAACTTACAGCTGATGTATTGTTTTAAAATGCAATTCAGTTCTTTGGCACTTGAACTAAACACGATAATTTCTTACCATCTCAATCCAGATGTGACTTGTGACAGTTTGAGACATCTCATCCTGCAAAACAATACAGGATCTCTTTTAAATCAGAGCGGTTTCTATCTATGCAGACAGGTTTGGGGGCATTTTCTCAGGATATTTAGACAAACGCTGATAAAACCATTAAGTTAAATGTACTAGAAGGAGTTTTAACTGGTTATAAAACAGTTTAATACAGATGAGAGGTTGGCTATTTCTATAAAGTTATTCTTACTGTGGATTTCCCTTGAAATCAATGAGCTTGACGGACTCACTGAGAATGAGCTGTCAATCACAAGGTAGCCCCGCCCTAAAGCATACCCTGCTTTATGGTCTGTTTGACTCTAAATGGGACCATCAGTTATTACTAAAATGAACATCAGTGCTGTATGGAAGAAGACTGAAACTAGAGACTGAGACCAGAAACTCATCAGGAAACTGTTTACTGAGCTCATAAATCAACTGAGAAGTCGGCTCATTTCTCCATAAGGCCGAATGGTAATGGAGCTGCCCTCTGCTGGCCGTTAGAAAGAATGCAGGTTTCACAGACCTGGAAGCTCTGTCTGTTATATTTACTGTCAGTGGTTGCTGTTTTAAGTGAAAGTAAAAAATCAACCATGTATAAAATTATGGAGCTCTTTCACGTCAACTTGTTGCACAAGATATAAAAAATAAATACTTTTTTGTTTCCAGCTGAACGAATGTGAGTCCTGATCTGATACTTGTATTTTCCTACATAATGCAGTTGCACAGTGCTCACTTCAAGTACATTAAAGTTAATAAAATCCATTAAGTTTACATGTTTGATGACTGAATAGTTCTAAAATACATTAAGAAAGAAATCACCTGAATCCAAGCGGTTTCTTTTTGTTTTTCATTTTCTTTTTTAACAAAATAAGTTTATTATCTCGCTGTAAAATCAATTCAGTGGAATAGAAGGGAGAATATTTCTGTCTGAAATGCAATAAGTAAAATATAATTGGAAAAACTTGAGTAAAGTACAGTACTTGAGTAAATTCAGCCTCCTTTAGTTACATCCCACACTGGTTCTGGGTGAGCTGACCCTTAAACAATACGTACCACTTGTAAAATACCGTACAGCAACATGTCCACCTGAACAAGGGTGGATGTCGTCCAGTTCTTCACGGGCCGCATTATCTGTAGAACCTCATTCGTCGATGTCAGGTTCAAGTGTTTCAGAAGACCCAAGTAGGAGCAGTCTGAAGTCTGACTGCTAGAAATACCTGCCGGGGAAAGAGACCAGGATCTGAACCTGCAGGAACTGATACAAAACCATCTCAGTTGCTATGTTTTATGTGATAATAAAGTTAAATTTAACCACTCACCGATGAGAGCAATAAAAGTTGCAACCCTCAGAGCTGACATGGCTGTTTGCCTTCATCTCAGTCTGAGCAAACCCTTTTAAACTGCCTCACAAAGAACAGGTGAACTATACAACAGGTAAGTGCGGAAGTAGGCATCAATAGATCTAATTAAAGGCGCCGTTCTGTGGTCTGTCGTTAGTGGACGTTTCTTTTGTCGCCCTGCAGCTGAAGCGAAAAGTCAACACGAGGAGTTGTCAGTGTGACATCAGAGTGCACGCTGGAGATTTTAATTAGAGGATGTATATTCAATATATAAGATACTCAGAGGAGGAGGATGTACAGGTCAATCTGCTGAGGAAGATAAAACAGAAAGCTCCAGAACAACCAACTGATGGACTGTTTTATTTTAACTTTACTTCCACAAATTCAATCTCAGCTCAAGTTCCTCTGACTGACTCGTTCTTTATCAGCACAAACTCCAAAAAAGGAATCTCAAGACAGTAAAAAAGCCTAGTTTCTGGGAAATTAGTGTAATTTTCAGTCAAAATAATCATGATTTACATCAGAAAAGTAATCTGATTTTAAGAAAATATATCTAACATTGTCTTAATAAGATATTACAGCTAATATTGAGGTGGATTTAACCAGTAACAACAATGGTTGCATAATATCCCAGCAGAGGAACCAGATTATTGTCCTTATTTTCAGAGTAAGAGCACTCGCACAACTTCTCAGTTTAACAGAAAGTCATCTGGTCCCAGTGTTGGAAATGAAGCAGCTGTTTAGTTTTTCATTGTTTTAATAATAAGAATGTTTTTGGTGCTTTATTTTAACATAATGTCACTTATTGTTATTATGTTAAAAGAAATTGTGTCTTGTCTGTAAGATTGCTAATTATTAATCTTAAAGGTACAAATTCTTAAATTCAGCTCAATAAACTAAGCAAAATACTTATTAAGAATCTTAAATAACTGAGTTTTGATTGCTTGTAATAAACACAACTTGCTTAAACCCATTACAGTCTTTCAGTGGTTAGATAAAACCAATTACAATACAAGCAAATCGGATTATATTTAAGAATATTTGGTTTGTTTTTGTAGTTTTCATCTAATCGTAACATCAATTTGGCTTCAGACCATAAATAACAATTCAAATCAAGAAGAATGTATTTTATTTTACAGAAAAGCCATTAAAAGAGGTAGAAAGAGAGTTTTACACATATAAACATTACTGTGTGTTTATTAATCACAACAACTAATGTAGATTAACAGTATGAGTGTAGATGTGACCGTCTTTTACACATTTCACAGCAAGAAAGAAGATTAGTGATTTCCATAACTCTGATTTAATCAAATTACAACAAACAAACAGTTCTGACTCTTAGACTGTTTGTTTTTCTAGTAAAGTTCATCAAAAAACATTCATAGAACATAAAGTCTATCAATCGTTTTGCATAAGAATTTAAAATAAATTATTATTACTATGAGCTGTAATTTAATAATCCAGATTGGTAATAATATAAATTTCCCACCATCAGCTGATAATTTAACTAATTTCCAGGCGTTTGACTGGAAAACTAGTCTAATTTTCCAGTTTTCCAAGGTTTTCCAGGACATTTGAACCCTGTTTTCCTTTTGTTTATGTGACTCAATTTCGTCTATCATAGGTGTTGTTGCAACCATTTATTTCCCACAGGGAATAAATAAACCTATAAGTAAACATATCTTCTTGTTGTTGCTGTAGAAAATAAACAACAACAAGTCTTTAAAGTCGGTTTAATAGATCGTATACGTCACTCTGATCGGTCTGTTTGCCCCAAAGTTGAACAGAGAAAATATCTTTTCTCTCTAAAAGCTCCACAGCCTAAAAACCACAGATCTGAATCAGGAGTTGAATCTTTGGCACACAAAATAACTTTTTCAGGATTTGTTTTTCCATCTGTAACATCAACGACTGGTTATATATTTTATTTTTCTACATCCCGCCAACCCAACAGATTCTTTTAAAGGTCCTGGATACGTGTTGGTACAGAGAGGTCTTAGGGGAACACATCAGTGGGCAGCTGGAAGTCTTTGAAGGTGTAGAAGGAGATGTCTCCGTAGTCCACAACGGCGAAGACCACCGGGACGTCTCCGCTCTGGAAGGTCAGCAGCTTCATAGCTCGCAGGTCGGGAACAGGGCCGTCGAAACTGAGACGCAACAGGGAGGAAATCAACGTTTAAGGCCTTTAATTAATTAATTATTGGTTAAGACTTTGTACTTAAGCCACAGTCTGTCAGCAATTAACAATTAGTACATACATACATTAGTAAACTGACTATATTTTATGGATATTTCATATTATATTGAATGCATAACACTAACAACTGAACAATGAACACAAACACAGTAATTAAATATTGGAACTTTCTATACAATTCTCTGTCTGTATTATGTATTTCTTTATTTTTTAACAATCATACATATAGTTTTATTCACAGAAATTAACTAAATGCTGAGATATCGGCCTACTGTGTACATTGTTTAAGTTTTCTTACACTCCTTAAAATCAAGGCCCCAGATTGGGAACCACTGAATTCATCAATCAGCAGATTACTGAACAAACAATTTTGGTAATCGGTTGTTTCCAGGTTGCTTTCCTCTGTTCTACCTTATTGTAAATGATTTAATTTTTGAGATGTTTAACCCTAAAAGACGCAATCTGAAGACATCACATTGGGTTTAAGTTGTGATGAGCAACATTTTCTGACATTTTAAGATAAGAGATAAAAGAACATAAACTTTATTAATCCCACACTAGCGGAAAATCACTGCAGATAACAACAAATAAAAGTTATAGATTAAAAAGTAAAAAGAGTTAAATACAGCTTTTATTTACACAGATATGTGTGACAGATCATTGCATAAAGATTTGATTGCATTCAGCACTGTGCACAAATATAATGTAAATGATGTATGGACCAAATCATTATATTCAAATAACCAAGAGATGTATTAGTTAATCTGTCAAACTCACTGAAAGGAAGATGAGACAGAACATTGCGCTCCAACCACTGTGTGATATTATATTTCAGCCGCAGTTTGTTTGAGCGCCTACCTGCACACACACATGCGGGCGTAAGGTTTCCCCGGGTTGCTCTTCCTGAAGTCAGCCACCGAATCCGGTTGGTAAACATTGAAACAAATCCTCCACTCGTCTGAGCCGTTTAACCTGAGCGGGACAAAAGCACAACGTCGTCCGCTGAATGACGGGTCGCTCCATCACAGTACAATGCATCGGCCTCGCTGTACGGGAGCGCGGCCCGGTGGCAGCAAACACCGGCACCGCCTCTTTGTCTCACAGTCTTTATGGGTTTGTAAATTAAACATCATGAACTGATGATAGAAGAGAGACGAGCCGGGTTCACATAAAGTCCAACTCTGATTGATTTTCATTCATTCAGACTCGTTAACGTTTTCTAAAGACATTTTTACCTTTCTTACTTACTTAATCTGCAGTGTACATCTGAATTAAGACCTTTTAAATGCTAGAAAGAATGGAATTTAATACGTTTCTTACTTAGAAAATGTGAATGCTGAAATGTCCTGCTAACACCAACATACAGGCCTGTTTGGGAACCGGTATGACCCCGTAACAGTTAACTGAATGTGAGGCGTTGAGGCTTTTCTAAACCTATATTCGTTTATGTTTTGTCCAACTGGCCCCACTGAGGATGCAGAATCTTCCACAGATGTACAGACAGCAATCACTGGATTCCTCTGATACTGAATAATCATTGTGAGGCAAGTTCTGAAGAGTCTTTTTGCTGTCATAAACAAGCCATTTATTGCTATTTATATTATATATTTCTGCTGTATATATTAACTAAGTGGAAGCAAGCTGATGTTAAACAGTTACAGTTCGAGGTCTCGGTCTAATAAAATCCTGTC